TTTGAACTGCCAACCTTGTGCTTCACAGTCCAGTGCTGATCCTATAGGACCACACCAGGAGTACTTTTTCATACTAGAAGGAACACATTGATGATTGCAGTAGTTCTCAAGCATTTGCATACATCGGAATCACCCAGAGAGCTTGTTAAGACAGATTGCTGGGCCCCATGCCCAAAGTTTCTAATTCAGTTGTTTTGGGTTTTTTTTTTTTTTTTTTTTTTTTTTTTGTGGAAACTGTGGATTTGCATTTCTGTTAAATTCTGAGGTGATGTTGATCTTTGATTATAGAAACAGTAGCTTGAGATGTATTTTTACCACCACAGGAAATATGTGGATCCTTGATACTGTCTGGCTGTGATATGGAATCCACATGAAACATGCTTGCCTGCTAACCAAAAGGCTGGGGGTTCAAGTCCACCCAGAGGTGTCTCAAAGGACGGGCAATCTACTCCTGAAAAATCAGCCATTGAAAATCTGATGGAGCACAGTTCTACTCTGATATACATGAGGTCTCTATGAGTCAGTATAACTTGAAGGCAACTTTTTTTTAGGGGTGGGGGTATGGTCTTAGGAGACTAAGTACCAGGAACAACTTAACCGCATTAAACAACATTCCCTCAGGCCACTGATCTCCATTTCCAACTTATATCCCAGTTGCTAAAAAACAATGTAATTTGCTTCATTTCCCACCTTTCTCCTTGTCTCTACCCACTTTTCCATGGCAGAAAGGCGGTCTAGTCAACTGCAGGGTGCTCTAATCTCGAAATCTTTCAGAGTGAACATTAGTTTGGATATGTGGCTGAGACATTCTGATGACTGATTCCAAGTCCTCTAGGTCAGTATGTTTTTGTTAAGTGCCATCGAGTCGGTTCCGACCCATAGCGACCCTGTAACAGGGTTTCCAAGGGTGTAAATCTTTACGGGAGTAGAAAGCCAGTATGTTGTTGTTGTTAAGTGCCGTCGAGTCGGTTCCGACCCATAGCGACCCTGTACAGGGTTTCCGAGGGTGTAAATCTTTACAGGAGTAGAAAGCCTCATCTTTGTCCTGCGGAGCAGCTGGTAATTTCGAACCGCTGACCTTAAGGTTCGCAGCCCGATTCGTAACCACTACACTACCAGAGCCAGTATAGTACTGTGTTTATTCAGTCAAGGGATTTACCCCTGCTTTCATGTCCTCGTAACCTGTAGACTGAGACCTATGACCACTATGTTGTGTGGGAGACATGAGGTCGTTTAACCCTCAGCCTTCTTTGGCCCTCAGTTACCAATCAATCCTCGGCATCTCGAAGGACCCAGGAGACTCTGACTGGGCCTTCTTTTGGCAAATTACTCAGATTTGCAGTGTAGGCAATGACCTTTCTGGTGCCTGCGCTTTGCAATGTAGGCTTCCTGCCAGGGAAGTCACGACCGCACTTTACGGTAATGAAGTGGAGACAGGGATTTCCTCACTGGAACACCTTGGTGACTCCATTTCATTTGATTATAAACAGACACATTATGACTACATTTTCTTTTTATAAAAAAATTTATTGAGATGATGTAATTATAGGCTTTTCTTTAAAAATTATTTGCAACTCACTGGCCCTGAGAAAAGGCATTTTTTTTTTCTTTTTTGTTACATTCATTTGATTCAGTCCCTTATAAACCCCACACCTCATAACAAGAGATTAGACACTAAACCAAAAAAAAAAAAAAAAAAAGAAATTCTAGATTCGGTCTGGTTTGCACGTGGCTGCAGTCACAAAGAGAAATCTTCAAGAATGTTCACTTGGCATGTGTGAAAGATTCAGAGAGTTTGCAGTTGATTAGTGTTGATGCAGAAGAGGCCAAAAGAGTATTGGGTTAGTCTTCTGTGGTGTGTAGCCAGGTGGGCGTTATTGTGCATCCTCTCCCCACCCCTCCACCCCACCTCCATGTGGCTTCCTTGTATCGCACCCTGTATCCCAGGTTTCTGCTCAGAAGAGGAACAGGCTGAGTGGGTGAAAAGTTGCTGACTAGCACCGAATGCTTGGACAAAGAAAACTGCCCTTTGTTCTTTGTATATTTTTCCAAACCTTTCATATTCAACTTCCTGGTCAGGAATAGGTCAAATGGGGATATGACCAGGACTGGATCCCAATTCTAATTCTATCCTTGACATGCAGTCTGGCCCTAGCCATGTCATGTGACCTCTGTGACACTCAGGGTTCCCTTCTGTGAAAGTGAGTTCGTGTATTCAAAGGTGGACCCCAGGTAGTGAAAGTTGGACATGGTGGTGACTTTGTCATTTAGGTAAATGCTGTCATAGCTATTAAAGATTCAGCCAAAGCTACTTTCTCATTTGGACAAGTATATCAGTATCAAAAGACAATGGGAGTTACAAACATATTGTAAAAAGCAAAGAATCCACCAGTTTGTTATTCCTCTTTTCCTGTGGATACCCTTTCACCAAAGGCTTTAGGATACTGATGATGCTACCATAGCCTGGGCCAATTTGCCTTGGGTCCAAAAGACCTTAGAGATGTCACCTTTTAACATAACCAGTCTAGCCAATGGTCACTGTTTTCTTCTGTTGCAGAGGTGATAATCTGGTTAATTCAAGGTGCAGGAGGAGATTACTGGGGAAGTTAAGATATAACTGGGCTGTCCATGCCTACAGAGCTGAAGGAAGCTTTCCTCCCCCTGCAGGGCTCCTTCCTCGGCAGTTCCCATTCCTAATTCCTGACTGTGGGAACCAAGGGTTTTCAAACTGGCAAGAGGGAGGCCAACTATTCAGAGTGCAGCTGAGTCTTTAATTTGGTCCTGGGTGACATTCCCATCACCTCTAACAGTGTTGAAGTGAGAAGTTTCATGCCTGGTGGATTCTTCAGATCAAATGTAAGCTCCCAGAGGGCAGAATATTGCCGGATTCATCTTTGAATCCCTCACAGTGTCTAGTCGGTCCTTCACAAAGGTTTGCTAAATTGAATCTGAAACCTTGGTGTTTGCAGTATACAAACACTATAGTCCAGTGTTTCTGTGTGGCCTAGATCTTACCTCAAAGAATAAATGAAACAACTTCTACTGTAAAGGGGACCAACAGAAAACTATTACTGGTAGTAACTGAATGAGAAATAAGACTACGTTGGAATTGGCACTGTCTGCTATTACTCCTCCAAGTAGTTGAAGGTGTTACCCTAAGTCTTACATATACATACAGGATATTGCTTTAAATACAGAAACCCATGGGGGCAAATGGTAATTTCCTTCTATGGTTTAATTGTGAGGCTCTCTGAATAGGAAGCAACTGAGTTTTACTTGGATAAATGGTTGGAGTGAGGTGTCCTAATCCTAGCGAGAAGCAGCAGCATCCTATCCTTGCCTCTAAATTCAGATTCAGACAAAATGCCTCAGTAAAAATCCACTCATTTCCTACAGCCTTAAAACTGTGCTCTTAAGACATGAATTTCACAAGGCACCAGGTGTTAGGCTTAATCTCTCCTTTTAAATCCATCATCACTTATCTTAGAGGCTGGACAATATATCACTGTGTGCTGGATACTCCTGAAACAGGACATCTGTGGTATGTGGGGATCCAGCTGATTTCATCATTATTCCAGCAGATTGAGATTAAGCCTCACAAAGAAGGTTCCTAACCTCAAGGCAAACCAACATTCCCAAAGAGTTAATGGGAGAAGGTTATCTCTGGTCCTAGCAAAAGCAGGGACACAGAGCAAGGCAGAGGCTTGATTATTAGCTCTTCAATTCTGGTGTCCTTGAAGCACAATTCACCTACTTGCCACCCGGGCTGGTGTACTTGTCTTAAGGCAACGGGAGTGTTCTTGTTGCCTTTGAGGAGAAGCCCAGGGGTCTGATGGCTTTACCTGGGAAGAACTGCTAACAGGGCACAATCGTACCTTGGAGTAACTGTAATACTCTTAATCAGCTGAGTAGAGGAAACAGAAGCGAATGAGGGAGGAATGGGTGCTTTATAAGGCAAGGGTAATTTTCAGAATTAAAAAGAAAATAAAAAAAAGATTGAACTCCTAATATTGGATGCCTGAACCTACAGTGTGAAGAGGGTACGTGTAGAAGGCTAGAAAAGAAAAGATAAAAAAATCTAAACCAGTTCTCTGAAAATATCTGTTATCATCTAAAACACTACGGCTGGCATTTCCATTTTCTAAGACATTGCCACCTCAAGGGTGGCAAAGAGCCAAGAGTGGATCCTTTCTCAAACACAACTGTGAAGGAAGAAGCAAAGCAATACGTGTCTGAAGAACTTCCTGTCTGCCCAGGCTAGGCAAGCACTGGTAGCAACAGAGGCTGCACTCGGGAATCCTCCCCTTTCACGTGTCTGTTATCCAATGGGGCTCAGGGAACTTAAAAAAAAAAAAAAAAAAAAAAAGGCTAAGGAAAAATCAGGTGAGGGCATGAAATTGAGCACAAGATGGCTCTTGGGATGGCTCAGAGAAGACCTTTCTTTCCTCTCAGCCTCAATAACCTGCTTCAGAAAAGTAAATCCCCACAGCCGAATACTTTCACCTTGTGTCTGGTTGCCAGGCTTGTGTGGTCTTTTCAAATTTTCCACTTTATGGCCCTTGCAAGCTAATCCCAAAATGCTGGAGCCTTCCAAACAACTTGGACAGCCTTCCATCCTTATCTCACGCTCTGCAGAAACACCAAACTGTGTAGCCCCCACAGTCATTTGCTGGGTGGTACGCTGGACTAGCACTTATCTTTCTGAGTTCAGCAGCATCTGGAATAGTTCTGGCCTCCCTCAGATGGTGGGCCCAGTGGCGGGATATGGGTTTGACTTTGTGGTGCTGGTTAAGTACTCAAGTGACTGGCTGCTTGGGTACCTACAATTCCCAAGACCCTCCAGGAGGCTGAACTCTGTGGAAAGGCATCTGATGCTCAGTGGCAGCCAGGGAGAAGATAGAGGGGCGGGAGGGAAGAAAAGAGAATGAGACAAAAAGAGAGAGAAAGGAAGCTCCTCTTTTCACTTTATCACTTTTAAAAGCATCTTTTGTTTTGTTTTGTTTTGTTTTGAGCCAATACCCAACAACAGGAATAAACCTGGTCCACATGGCAGGAAAAGAGGAACCTGAACTCTTTAGCCAAGATTCTCTTTCCTGACCAGCTGGGCTTGGCGCACTTTGTGAGATCTGCAATATATATATATATATATATATATAATAGATATATATTTCCATAGGAAAACACATCAGATGTCTTCCCTTATAATGAATGATGAAAAGTCAAACTGTGTGTTCTTAAAAAACAAAAACAAAAACAAAAACACCATGAAACTAAAAAATCGGTGGGAAGGTGAGGAATTACAGATCGAGTGATTCCCAATGAGAAGGAAACATGAAGCGAGAGTCCCAGGCTTGTGCCCTTGGCCAGAATTCCAGCCCCGCCTTTGCTGGGTGGTTTGTCTAAGGTGCTCCAGGGTCCCTTCTTGTATGCAGGAGAGTGTCACTCCTGTGTCAGGGTCTCTTCCTTTTCAGCGCTCCTCAGCCCTGTGTCCTGGTGAACAGGGTCTCTGCTGCTGCCCGGTGCCACAGTACTGGGTTGGCTTCTTCAGCATTCATCTTCTTGGTATATTTGTTCATCCAGCTCCTGGGACTCAAGGTGCTCCAAACGGTCTGTCCGGCCACTCATGATTTCATCTGGGGTTTTCATAAACCTTTGGAAGAGGAAGTGGAGGAGTAACGTCATTACGCTACCTGACAGTTGTCTTCACCCCAAACTCTAACCTATAAAGGAAAGCCCCATCATCTCATACAGCCGGAGAGCTTCTGATCCCAGCTACTCACACGAACAGGGTGCAAATGAGAAAAAGGTGCCCTTTCTTTTCACTGCCTACACACTGGTGAGATAGATAACTTTCAACAAGGCTAGATGACTGTGATGCCCAATCCAGAGAGCCGTGCAATTACTTGCATAAGCATACAAGGAAACCCTGGTACGGTTCCCTTACCTGGGTTTCTTATTGTTATATAGAGAGTTAGCTTATACAGAGACTCCTGGGAACTGAATATCCATGGCAGACTGGGAGCCTGGGGAATAGTATTCAAACTTGAATCTAACTAAAAGGATACAATTAAACTCTGAATGGAAAATTTGATAATAGGGCAAGTTAGTGGTGCTTTTGGAAAATTAGAAAGGCAAAACGAGACTCTTTTTCAATGTTATCACTGATCCACCCAAAATACTAGCAATGAATCCCTTTTAGTCTATCTTCCTTTGCAGCTGGGTGTATATAAAGCAAGCCTTCTCTTCTTGTCCAATGCGTTCATTTGGAAAGAAACACCAGGGGCATGTTGCGATCCCAATTTTCAGGGCTAAGGCAGGCAGCCTGACTGCTACTGTCAGCGTGCTCTTCCCACAGCTCCAGTCTTGGCTCTGAGCCTGCACATCTCTCCCTGCCCCAAATGGACTGCCTTAAAACATATCCCTATGTTAGTTCACAGCTCCCTATTTAGAAGGCCATGATGCCCACTTCCAAGTCAAGGACATACTCTTTGGCTTGTCCATCAGAGTCTTGTACCATCTATATTCAGAAAATTCTATTTTCCTACTCTTCACTAGCATGAATCTCTACACTCCATTATGGCCAGTCTGTCTTCTATAGATCTTGACTCTTGGCTTTCTTTAAATCTTTAGCTTTGCTCTTATCTTCAACACTCTTTATTTCTTCCCCTTATCCAAGTCCTTCTCATTCTTTGCGTTCTGCCTCATTGCTTTGAGTTGCTGAATGGTATCACTCTATCCTGAAGTCTTCCTTCCCTTCATGTCTATAAATATTATGAAGGGTATCCATAATTCAACACTTCACTTGATTACACACTGTGTCTTAAAACAAGAAGTCGTTGTTTTGTGGCCAGTCCGGATTCTAACACTCATTTCCTTGGAAATGACCACTATTCTTTCCTCTAACCATGTTGACCATCTTTCATTGGAAGCCTCTGAACCTTCAAACTACCACTGATTTTCTTTTCCATTTATTATTAATGAACTTCTCCAGCAGTGTCTGTTCCTTTCATACTCTAGCTAAAACTTCTCCCTCAACATCTAGTCTCACTAATGATCTCCTTTAGGACCCAGTCCACAGATGTGCTCTACCCCTATATTCTTTTATTTTTCAATATTGTGCTTGTGATATTCCTCAACTGACTTGTCAAGAAATATTTTTGCAAGTCTCCATAAGGTATAAAATAGAATATAAAATATCCTCTACCTTCTAGGATAAAGAGCCCTAGTAATGTAGTGGTTATGATTTGGGCTGATAACCTCAAGGTCAGCAGTTAAGATCTACCAGCCACTCTTCAGGGGAAAGATGAGGCTTTCTGTTCTTGTAAAGGTTTACTGCCTTGGAAACCCTATACAGTCAGAACCGCCTCGACAGCACACCGCCACCACCACATCAACCTGACAGAACACAACAATAACCTTCTAGGAACTTACCATCTAATTGTGGAGCAAGAACTTTACACATACATCAAAATGCAGAAAACAGTGTGTAAAGGGCCAAAGGAACCCAAAACATTTTGGGAAAAGGTATTTCTGTGTGTTAGAGTGGTTGAAGAAGACCACATAAAGGGCAGGCATCATAAAGCTGGCCCTTGAGAATGTACATAACAAAAGAAAGGTAAAAGTGAAAAGGGATACCCATTTCTGGCATAGGGAATCATACTTACATTCTAGAGCAAATGGCAGCACGGATTGTGAATTTGAGAGGCAGGGGAGTAGACCAGAGGTAGGAAGAGATTGTTGAATTATTCAGAAATGGAATTATAAAGTCTAGACACCAGCTTCTATTGTTTAAAGGAATAATAATACTTTCGCTTTTCTTCTATCTTCTAAGTCTCACGCAAGAGCTTGTCATTGATAGAGTCCAACGTGGCACCTACTGGTGATACATTCTGAGAAAACATAATTCCCAGATTTTTAGCCTACAACATAGAAAAAAGTCCGAATGGTACTGAATAGCCAATGGATAATCCAGCACAATGAATAACTTGGATATAGGAAAATCAAAGATAGTTATAGTTTCAAGATTAGTTGATTAAAATGATGTTGATATCACTGATGAGTAACAAGAATATTGAATGTGATTACTAGTTTGTGAGGAAGGTTCATTTTGAACATGTGTCTGAATACTAATGTGATATTCAAGTGGACATGTCCTATAAGAAAGCTCTTGGAGATTCTGATTTGGAATTTCAGGGAGATTTTAAAGCCGGCTATAGAGATTTAGAAGGAGCCCTTGTAGTGTAATAGATTGTGAGCTGGGCTGCTAAACGCAAGGGCAGCAGTTTGACTCTACCCTTCGCTCACAGGGTAAAAGGTGCTCCCATAAAGATTTACAGCCTCAAAAGCCCTATAAAGGGTTACCCCACCATGGAGATTTAAAAGCCTAGTCATTGAGGTAAAAACAGAATCTGTGTGACGGGATTAGTTCATCCAGGGAAAACATGTAGGATGGGAAGTAGACTAAGTAAGTTTAGTGAAAGAAGAAGAGAAAGTGTTAGCAGAACCATAGAAAGATGGTTCTCTTTATTTCATTCCATTCTGATTCCATTTTATGAAGTGTTTTCTCTATCTTTTCAATGCTTCAAGGAACACAATGGTTATGTGTTTGGTTAACTAATAGATCAGCAGTTCAAACCCACCAGCAACTCCATATAAGATCTTAATTATTTTTACTAACCCTAAATTACCATTCATTCTTGATATTTTAAAGTCTATGCTCTTTCTATAGATACTTATCATTTTGGTGAGGTCATCTATTCATACTTGGTGCCAACTTGTAACTGTTGTTGTTAGGTGCCGTTGAATGGGTTCTGACCCATAGTGAACCTCTGCACAACAGAACAAAACAACGCCCAGTCCTGCGCCATCCTCACAATTGCTTCTACACTTGAACCCACTGCTGCTGCCACTGTGCCAGTCCATCTTGTCAGGGGTCTTCCTCTTTTTTGCTGACCATCTACTTTATCAAGCATGATGTCCTTCTCCAGAGACTGGACCCTCCTGATAGTATGTCCAAAGTATGAGAGATGAAGTCTGGCCATCTTGGTTTCTAAGAAGCATTCTGGTTGTACTTCTTCCAACACAGGTTTGTTACTTCTTCTGGCAGTCCACAGCACCTTAATAGTCTTCTCCAACACCATAACTCATATGTATCAATTCTTCTATGGTCTTCCTTATTCATTGTTCAACTTTCACATGCTTATGAGGCTACTAAAAATACTGTTAAGTTGGGTCGGGTGTACCTTGGTCCTCAAACTGACATTTCTGCTCTTGAACACTTTAAAAAGGTCTTGTTTAACAGATTTATTTAACGCAATATGTCATTTGACTTCTTGACTGCTGCTTTCATGCGTATTGATGGTGGATCCAAGCAAAATAAAGTCTTTGGAAACTAATTCCAAATCCTTGCCTATAGCTGCATCTGTCACTCTCTGCTGTCTCACCTGCAACACTCAAAACCTGAGGTCATGCTTGTTGGACTCACCTTCTCCCAGTCTGCACTTGGACCAGTCACCATCAGAGGCCTGCTTCTACCTCCACTTTTCCTTTTTTTCCTTTTCCAATTCTTTCTTTTCTAATACTTGAGATCCCAATTTATGTGATAGGTTAAATGGCTGTAACTCATTAACAGGGATTCCGGAAAGAGGAGAGTTTGGTGTATGGTTTCCAGACCTTTCTGACTATGGTGCATTGTCAAAAATAATTGTGACTCATAACACACATACCTGAAACAAAATTTTCATAAAGTAACAGTTGCAATCTGATATGCTCAACTCTACTGCATGAAACAAAAAGGCTGTTAGTAACCTATTAAAACCTATTTCATGACTCACTAATGGGTCATGACCTCCAGTTTGAAAGTACGGTCTTAGAAATAGCTTACAGGGTTGGAAACCTGGATGTCTAGGTTTCATTCTTGGCTTTGCCCTTGACAATGAGACGCTGGTTGCTCTCTTAACTATATTGGACTTTAAAGGTGAGTCAGATTATGCTTACTTAGCTTTGATTTTACTTCAAAACAGATGAAAATGTAAATAGCTACTTTTCTCTTAAATTATAAAACCAGTACTTGGTATCCAATTTGTGGCACCAATGTCTTTGGGTATTAGGTAGGTAGGTAGAGATCTTAGCATATCCACCCTGTCCCTTCCACCTTATTTAAAGAAAACAATATCCTCCCGAAAGAAGGCAAGGAGAAAAAGGAAGTAGTACCTGAACAAAAGCCTTTGTCCTGGCTCCTTCCTGATAATGTTTAGTTTGTAGTAGTGGCGCAGGGCTCTGGACATTTTCTCATAGGTCATGTTTGTTCTGTTCTGTTTGTTGAAACGAGGAAGAGAGAGAGAGAGAGAGAGAGAAAAAAGTATAAAGACAAAATGAAATCAACCTCAGAAAAGGCACTGGGGGAGCTATTAAAATAAAAGCTCTTCAGCTTTAAGCAGCTCCGTGAGGCCCTGCCAGCTTGGGAATGCTACCTGCTAATCTGCGGCCTCCAGACTTTACAGCTCCCACCTCTTGGCTTTCTGCTAAGGTGAATCACCCTTTGTCAGAAGCTAGTAAAAGCCATCTCTCAACAACCTCCTTTATTTCCTTTTCCCAGGATCACTCTCTGGTTTGCCTGAGGAGTCTCCTGCAGGTTCTGGGTCTCTGGGTCATCCTTCCTATCCTTCCTCCTTCTGATCCACACAGAGTTTCAGGGTGGGTTTTTTTTTGTGTGTGTGTGTGTATGTGTGTGTGTGTCCATGAGCTTTCCCAAAGAGGTATTTCTAGTTTGTCATTTTCAGGGAGAATTTTTGTTGTTGTTGTTTAAATTCCTGCTGTAGATGTAAGGATGCGGTGGTTCTAAGCCCTGGGGCTCTGGTATCATGTGAGAGTTGCAGAAGGATTTTTCTCAGTGACTCACACATGCAAGTGCCTGTCAGTGGGGCCTTGCCATATTTGGGCATGGCCTGCGTTCAGTCTTCCTCAGCATGCCAGAGCACTCTGGCTGCACTGTCTTCCTCGAAGGCTCAGGCTGGGCTGAGCCTGGGATCCCCCTGCCCTCTTGTTCTGACCTGGTGCCTGGCACTCTTTGCTGAGATCTGTCTGTGTTCTGGCTTTGATTACTTACCCACTTTTTATATTGGCACACTTTAATAGCTTGTCTTACTAGAAAAGGTTTTATCTTTTAAATTCCATCTCCTCTTGCCAGTTTGGGGCAGTCCTGCTTCTTACATGGCTTGCTTTGAAAGAATATGTTTTAGAGTCAGAGCATAAGTAATATTCCACGTCCAAGTGGACTTCCATGCATATGAAAGTTTCCAGTTGAACAGAAGAGAAGTGACACTTCCCAAAGCTCCCCTGTGAGTCATACAGTCCTGCTGTGCTTCCCTGTTGCCAGTCCCTAATGACGGTGCTGGTGGCAGGGCCAGGCCAAGGGGAATGGGAGTCCAGGTTCCTCATGACGCAGCCCTATCAAACCAGGATGTGCTGCGTTAACAAACAGAAAGCGGCATCTTTAATTATTTCCTTCCCTTTGCAACTTCTAATTGCTTGCCCAGTGAGGAATAAACTGAGTAATTACTGCCATATTTAGGAAGCAGAAGACAGACAATTATCCTCCAATCCGGTGATAAAGACTTTATTTTGGCACTTGTTTACTGAGCAAATATCTGGTGCCCTTTACCTTATGGTTTCCCCACAGTCGAGCAAGTCCATTGGGATCCACTATCCGGAATATTTTGGATTCTTTGTCCTCCCATCGGATGAAGTTTTCGTACCGGCTGTCAGAAAGCAACTGATAGACGTAATCCCAAAGCAGTCTACAGTCTGCAGAGGAAAAGGGCAAGAAAACACTGTTGAAAATAGTTCTTGTTATAGGACTAATGGCAAGTACCAGAATATAATGTAGTGATCAACTTTACCTATTTTGGATTGATTGTCTAACATTGTCGTTCTACAATGAGAAGACTAAGGTTTAGAGAGGCTGAGTGAGAACACACTGGTGAAGTGGACCTTCGAGCGGTGGAGCCACCTTTTGCAGATGAAGACACAATGAATGGCCTTGCCCATAGTCATGAGTCAACAATGTGAACTTGAGCAGAGCCCACGGGACAGACAGGGAACAAGTAATCCCTGCCAAGGAGCTGGCTCTGCAGGTGGGCTAAACATAGGCTGGGTGGGACAGAGAGTAGAAAAAGATGTAAAAACGGTGGGGCTAAAGGATCCCTTGGGTGCTGGTGACTGGGGTGGGATAAGTAAACATGAGAAGACAGGAGCAGCAGGCTAGGAAGTGGCAGAAGGAGCAGCAGCAGCATGAGTGAACACTATAGGGAAAGAAAAACCACGGAGCTTGGTGACTTGGACTGTGGGCCCTGTGGCTAGCAGGGATTCAAAACAAAATCCAGGTGGATTCTCTTTACAGCAGACTTGCTGGTAAGTGCCGTCGAGTTGGTTCCAACTCACAGCGACCTTGTATGGGGTTTCCAAGGAGCACCTGGTGAGCTTGAACCACCGACCTTGGGGTTCAAACTGACCTTGTGGTCCACAGTGCCACACCAGGACTTCTATAGCATACTTAAAATAGTTTCATCATAGTGGAGTTAGGGTAGAAGTAAAAAGTGAAAAACATCACCTGTCCATTTGCAGAACTGACATCCATCATTTGGTCAGGCGACAGCTATGTGTTGAGTTATTACTATGGGCTAGCCCTAGTGTACAAATCATTAACATGTTTGGTTACTAACCAAAAGCCTGGAAGTTCAAGTCCACCCACAGGCACCTCAGAAGAAAGGCCTGATGATCGACTTCTGAAAACCCTGTGGAGACTGCTTTGCTGTGACACACATGGGGCCACCATGAGTCAGAACTGAGTCGATGGCAACTAGAAAGACTGTGCAAGGCCCAAGTGCTTGGCTGTGGGTTGTCAAGTTAAGGAGATGACATTTGGTGCACAGTTTTCCTGTAGTCTATTGCTTTCTGGTTTGCCTGCTAGCTGAGCCTTGGCAGGCAGGTGGAGACAGACCTGGACTAGGAGTCCTGGTGTGGTACAGTAGGATAAGCACTGGACTGCTAACCCTAAGGTTGGTGGTTTGAGCTCTTCAGAACCTTTATATGTGGTTGCTATGAGTTAGAACCAACTTGATAGCACTTAACAACAGCAATAATTCAGCTAAGGCTGAACTGGTCTCCATTTTCCAGGTATTCACTGCATGGTTCTAGAAGCTCTGAAGGGCTTTAGATGATCAATTTAAAGTACAAGTATGGTCTGCATTTTACATGCACTTTTCTAGTCGTTGTTGTTAAGTGTCGTTGAATCGGTTCTGACCCATAGCAACCCTGTATAGGGTTTCTGAGGAGCGACTGGTAAGCTTGAACGGCCAACCTTGCAGTTCAAGCGGCTTTGCAGTCTGGTGCATTGACCCATAGTGCCACACCAGGACTCCTAGTCCTTAGGGATGTTAAAAGAACTTACCTGGGTCACTGAGTCTTTAACTCCGGGGTTCTTAAACTACAATGTGCTGTCTTTTTTTGTGTTAGGTGAGGCCCTAGGAAGGGAGTGTCTAATCGTCACTTGGAATATCTTAGTGTCAATACATTTATATCCCAGAGAAGGAAACATACTCTTTTTGGAGTGTATCGGCAAGGGGAATGGAATTCAGTCAGGTTAACTTTGGGCAAGTTTTGTAATCTCCCTGAGGTTCTAGTTCCTCATTTGTGAGATGGGAATAAACATTTACTTTATAAGATTACTGTGTGAGTGGTAATACATGTGAAGAGAAAGTAATAAAAACAATACTTAAAAACCAGTTGCCATTGAAAATGGACTCCAATGTATGCTGACCCCTTATGTGTCAAAGTAGAACAGTGCTCGATGGGGTATTTAAATCTTTACAGAAGCAGCAAGCCTCATCTTTCTCCCACTGAGTGACTGGTGGGTTTTAATATTCTTTACTGTGATCTTTTTTTCCCCTCCATGATCTGAGTCTAAAAATTAATGTGATGTGTAATTTGTTGGGTCTTGGAAAATGTCACTGTAGGCTTTTTCTTATAACAATACCATACTTTGTAAGATTTGAAGTCAATTTTAACAGGCAAAGTGGACCACTCACTCTAACTTCCACCCATACCTGCTGGCTGAATTTTTTGTTGTCAGAGGGTGGGCTGGAGTACCTGGAGAAGTCAGTATCCCTACTGTTGCAGTCTGTGGATAACTTAGCTCATTTTTAAGGCTCTTTGACAGAAGACTTGAGTTCCTAGGCAAAGCAGTGAAGCAGGCAAATTATCTAAATCTCTGCCACCATCAGTTTTACTACAAATGCAAAGTACAGAACTGAGTTGTGGTTTAATTGTCCATTTGTGTGGTCTATCATCAAATGGCAGATACATTTTAATTCCCCACATTCTCTTCCACCTGGAAAACAACTGAAAAAACAAAGAGTATCATATGAAATGCTAATAAATTAGAAGGAACAGAGATAGCTTGTACAGGTCTGTTCCCTTCTCTCCCTACCTGGTTATAATGCTCACTACAAACAGGCAGGCCACACCTCTGGTTTCGTCAGGATCGGGGATGTGATTCTCTAGTGTGTTCATTTCATGAAATTTAATTGTAAAGAAATTGCCTGGTTGTCTTCTACAGTTTGACATAATGAAGTTTTGCCCATGTGGAAGTGAGTGGTACACCAGCTTTCCTTTCGATTCCCGTCTACTCAGAGGCCTGTTGTGGAACCAAAACTCCATCTGGAAGGTCCTCTTCCCACCCGCTCTGCACAAGGATTTTCCCTACATTGCTCCTCTTACTCTCATGGTATGTACAGACCATTTCTCCAACTTAACCAGCACTGGGGTCCAACGTTGGTTTTTCAGAGGCATCAAATTGAGACTTTTAAATAAAATGTTTACTAAAGATCTAGACTGTTAGCTGCTCTTTGGATGGCAGATGAAGAACAGGTTTACCAGGGAAGAAGCTTTACCTATAAGCTTCAAGAAAGTATCTTGCAAACCTTTCTTTTTCACAAATGTGAAAACAACCCCAAACAGGCTGCCAATCGATCATTTAAAATGACATTTAATCCAGCAAAGCTAACTTTAGCTGAGTAATAAAAATAGGTTGACATTCAAGACATACTGAATTACTCAATTGCTAGCGGAGGTAGTAACAGAAATTTTGTGGCATAAAGGAGTTGTTAGGCGCTCAGAGTGTGAGTGGCTTTCATAACACTATTGATTGTTTTGTTTCTTAAACAGACAATAAAAATAACTGCCCTGACCATGACCACACGACAGTTTATATTACAATTGAGGTTCAAGCCAAACGAGTTACTTTTGGTTTTAGTACTTCAGTTACATACATGCAAGGCAGATTCTCTTCTGCTGCCTTCAGTCTTTGAAAGCTGTTATCATGGTCCATCTGGAATTTTTCTGGATATGTGTTAAAATCTGTATCTGTATTGTCCATTGTAATGGGCAATTGATCATCTGTAATGATCAATCAAAGTGTTTGGCAGAGAAAACTCACCCAACTCTACAAACAAAATTTTATCCCGTTACAAAATTCTTGGGTATACATGTGGGAAAAATCTTAAAAACAGATCACAAAATATTAATTTTAAAGTATTTTTGTAAAGGACCTTAATATTTGCCCAAGTGGTGCAAATGGTTAAGCACTTGACTACTAACTGAAAAGTTGGCTTTAATCCATTTAGACGCACGTCAGAAGAAAGACCTGGCAATCTATTTCTGAAAGATCATTTGTTGTTGTTATGTGCCGTGGAGTTGGTTCCGACTCATAGCGACCCTACACAGGGTTTCCAAGGCTGTAAATCTTTACGGGAGCAGACCGCCTCATCTTTCTCCCGCGGAACCGCTGGTAGTTTCGAACTGCTGACCTTGCGGCTCGCAGCCCGACTCGTAACCACTAAGCTACCAGAGCTCCTTTTCATAGATACTGAAAAACCATGTGGAATGCACTTCAACACAAATTTAAAAAGCTACTTTTTTCTGAAGTCCATTGCAGGTATGTGCTGAATAACATCCGTTCAGACAACATCTGACAGCAACATCTGCCCCCACTTCCCTGCTCCTCCAGCAATCAGAAAGAATTTATTGGGAGCCTGGGCATTTAGAGCTGGGTAGCTGTTCAAGGAGGGTGGGTAGGCAAGAGCTCTTCCTTCTGGATCCTTAAAGTAGGACAGTGTCCCTCGCTGACTCCCTGCAGACCTTCTGGTGCTGGATGAGCTCTGAGCTCTGACCGAAGGCCTTGTCTCAGGTGTTGTGGGTAAAGGGCTTCTCACCCACTGGTGCGGGAAAAAGTGAGGGTGGCCACAGAAGGTCTTGCTACACTACTGGCACTTGCAGGATTTCTCGCCTGTGTGAATGCACTGATGGAGGCCTTGTTGCATTGGCTGCAGGCGTACAGCTTCTCACCACTGTGGATACACAGGTGTTCTGTGAAGTGTGAACTGTGAATCCAGATTTTGCTGCACTGGTCACATCACATGGATTTGGTGGTGTGTTTGATGAAGTTCGCCACACTGGTGGCATTAGGGCTTCTGGCTGGTGTGAATGCACCACAAGACTTGAAGTTCTTGCAGCAGGTCTCACAACAGTGCGGCTTCGCAATGTAGGGAAAATCCTTGTGCAGAGCGGGCGGGACGAGGACCTTCCAGATGGAGTTTTGGTTCCACAACAGGCCTCTGAGTAGACGGGAATCGAAAGGAAAGCTGGTGTACCACTCACTTCCACATGGGCAAAACTTCATTATGTCAAACTATAGAAGACAACCAGGCAATTTCTTTACAATTAAATTTTATTAAGTTGAACACACT